GTTGATACGACCACGTTTTGAGCGGATGTTAAGTGCTTTGCGTGAAAAAAATCCAAGGGCAGCAACATGGTTGGACCATATTCCTAAAGCAAAATGGGCTCAATGTTACGATGAAGGGAGATAGTACGGCCATATGACTACCAATCTTGCAGAGTGTGTTAACAGCGTTTTGAAAGGATCTAGAGCTCTCCCTATCATTGCCCTGGTCCAAACAACATATTATAGGCTAATTTCATGGTTTGTTGATCATAGAGATGAAGCCATTAATATGATTAAGGCAGGACATATATATTGCGAAGAGTTGACAAATGTGATTAAAGAAAATCAACGTCAATCTATATGTCAACTTGTTCGTAGTTTTTCAAGGGAGACGAGGGTAGCCGAGGTTGAAGCTCCATCTAGATCTGGTGGTTGACATTCAAAAGTTTATATAGTTAAACTAACCGATAGTGGGTGTGATTGCGGAGAGTTTCAATCGTTGAGATTGACATGCTCTCATGCAATTGCCACATGCTGAAATTTAAATTTAGACTGTGGGCAATTTATTTCACCAATTTATCGGTTGGATAATATTTTGAAGGTATATGGACTTGAGTTTCAGTCAATTGTTAATGAGGAATATTGACCTTCTTATTGTGGACCATTATTCATTCCAAATCCTATTATGTGTAGGAAACGAACTAGTAGACCAAAAACTACGAGAATACATAATGAAATGGATGAAATTGAACCGCAACTGATTAAGAAATGTATATGGTGTAGAACAGAAGGTCATAATATGAAGAAATGTCCATACCGAATGAGCGAAGTTGGTCAGAGTTCTACGCAACCGAATGATGATGAGTAGTATTTGTAATATTTGTAATATTTGAATATTAATGATGTTGTTAAAAAGTTTAGTTGATTAAAAAGTTTAATAAATAAAAAGTTTATTAAAAAGTGTAGTTGATTAAATAGTATATTCAATGCAAATAAAGAGTAAGAGTATACGTTTATTCTTTCATACCGATGAAATGAGATATGCAGAGAATCAGATTCCCTGGAAAAGTTGGAAAAACCCATATATAGATGGAAAAGTTGAAATGAGATATGCATGGTTCACGTTTTGTTCAATGTGTCAGCCCTAGTTCTTTAACTTCCAATGTGCCAGACCTACTTCTTTTATTTCCATGGTTCTTTTATTTCCTAGTTCAATATAGGAATGGCAACGCGACGGGTCGGGGTCGGGTTTGTACTTACCAAAACCCGAAATCCAAAACCCGAAATCCAAAACCCGAACCCGAATTAAGTGGGGTTGGAAACAATGATACCATCCCCGAACCCGTCGGGTTTCGAGTAACCCAAACCCGAAAAAACCCGAAAAACATATATTTTAATATATATATATATATATATATGTATGAAATTTATATATGTATAGCTTATATATATATGTGTGTGAAATTTATACATATATAGCATATATATATGGGGTTTGCTAACATGAGGAATGTGTATTTTCAGTTAGGTACATGTTAGCAATGTGTACCAAAAGATTTGGACAAAATTACCCTTAAAGTTTTGTGTAACATGTTTTAGTAACTAGGGGTACTTATGTAATTTAACTTTAAACAGTGTAATCGATTACATTATCCTGATAATCGATTACATGATGATAAACTAACCAGACCTGTGCATTTTGTATAACGTAATCGATTACACTATACTAGTAATCGATTACAACATATTAAAAGCATCAGATATGTGCATTTTGTATGATGTAATCGATTACAACATATTAAAAGCATCAGATATGTGCATTTTTCACATTGTAATCGATTACACTATGTTTGGTAATCGATTACATCAATCCGTTGAGTTTGTATTTGAAATTTTGGTAATCGATTACACTATACTAGTAATCGATTACACTATACTAGTAATCGATTACTTCCGTTAAAGTTAAATTACATAAGTACCCCTAGTTACTAAAACATGTTACACAAAACTTTAAGGGTAATTTTGTCCAAATCTTTTGGTACACCTTACTAACATGTACCTAACTGAAAATACACATTCCCCATGAGCAAACCCCTATATATATATATATATGTGAAATTTATATATATATATAGCTTTTATGTATGTATTTATATGTAATTTTATAGTTTTATATATATTAATCGGGTTCGGGGCGGATTCAGGTTTGATATTGTTAATACCAAACCCGAACCTAAAATTTGAACTCGGGTAAAACCCGAACCCGAACCCATTCACATCCAGTTTTTTTCCATTATATTCGGGTTGGGTTCGGGCGGGAACCCACAGGTTCGGTTTTTATTGTTATCCCTAGTTCAATTTCAAACGTTTATTTCCAATTCATAATTCAATGTAATGAATTTAAAATAATGACTCACATACATCTATTAATTAAACACAGGGGAATAATAATTAAACATATTCTTATTATTAATTCTAAAAAGTGTGATATTAATCAAACATAGTCTTATTATTATTAATCAATCTAAAATAATGACTCACATATATAATTATATTGAAACGTGTTTATAATATTGAAGGTAAAAATAAACTAAACTAAATGAATGCAAAAATAGAATGCAATGTAGTTGAAATAAACTAAACTAAATGAATGAAATGTAGTTGAAATTAAACTAAATGAATGCAAATGTAGTTGAAAATAAAAGAATGGACGTAGTTGAACAAATGTAGTTGAAATAAATGCATGTTGTTGGACCACGCAATGCTTTTATTGAAACTCACAGAAAACGTTTACCAAGGACACGTTTTCCAACTACAAAAGCCAAACCGTGTTTTTAGTTCACGGTTTCTTTGTATAGTAGGGCACGGGTCACACTTTGAAGTACCCTAGCCGTTGATTACATAAACGTTTTCAAGGGCTAGGATTTATAGGGCACGAATCACTCTTTAAACTCCCTTAAACCCATCCCTATAAATACTCCAACTTATTCCATTTCAAATCACACAATTCTCATTCTCATACCTTACAATCCCTCTATTGTTTTCATTACTCCTTTTTCCTCATTTTCATATATCCTCTCAAAATGGAGCATTTTGTTCCCGGTCCCTCAAACACATCCTTATTGAGACTACAAGATAGTCATGTATCTAAATATGTATGGAATGGTGAGGAAATCACTTTCCGTGCTAGATGCAACTTTTGGATGTCATTACCTAATAAACGAGTGTTGCAATTGATTCGCAACACTGTTTTTGGCCCTATGTTAGATAATAGTGTTGTTGAAATCGACAACCATCTTTTGACAGCAATGGTTGAAAGATGGAGGTCAGAGACACACACTTTCCATTTGCCTAATGGAGAATGTACTATCACATTGCAAAACGTTGCAGGACATATATATTGCGAAGAGTTGACAAATGTGATTAAAGAAAATCAACGTCAATCTACATGTCAACTTGTTCGTAGTTTTTCAAGGGAGACGGGGGTAGCCGAGGTTGAAGCTCCATCTAGATCTGGTGGTCGACATTTAAAAGTTTATACAGTTAAATTAACTGATAGTTGATGTGATTGCGGAGAGTTTCAATCGTTGAGATTACCATGCTCTCATACAATTGCCACATGTTAAATTTAAATTTAGACTGTGGGCAATTTATCGGTTGGATATTATTTTGAAGGTATATGGACTTGAGTTTCAGCCAATTGGTAATGAGGAATATTGGCCTTCTTATTATGGACCATCGTTCATTCCAAATCCTATTATGCGTAGGAAACGAATTGGTAGACCAAAAACTACAAGAATACATAATGAAATGGATGAAGTTGAACCGCAACTGATTAAGAAATGTGGATGATGTAGAACAGAAGGTCATAATAGGAAGAAATGTCCATACCGAATGAGCGAAGTTGGTCAGAGTTCTACGCAACCAAATGATGATGAATAGTATTTGTAATATTTGAATATTAATGATGTTGTTAAAAAGTGTAGTTGATTAAAAAGTTTAATAAATAAAAAGTTTATTAAAAAATGTAGTTGATTAAATAGTATATTCAATGCAAATAAAGAGTAAGAGTACACGTTTATTCATTCATACTCATGAAATGAGATATGCAGAGAATCAGATTTCCTGGAAAAGATGGAAAAACCCAAACATAGCTGGAAAAGTTGAAATGAGATATGCATGATCCACGTTTTGTTCAATGTATCAGCCCTAGTTCTTTAACTTCCAATGTACCAGACATACTTCTTTTATTTTCATGGTTCTTTTATTTCCTAGTTCAATATCAAACGTTTATTTCCAATTCATAATTCAATGTAATCAATGTAAAATAATGCCTCACATACATCTATTAATTAAACACAGGGGAATAATAATTAAACATAATCTTATTATTAATTCTAAAAAGTGGGATATTAATCTAACATAGTCTTCTTATTATTAATCAATGTAAAATAATGACTCACATACATAATTATATTGAAACATGTTTATAATATTGAATGTAAAAATAAACTAAACTAAATGAATGCAAAAATAGAATGCAATGTAGTTGAAATAAACTAAACTAAATGAATGCAATGTAGTTGAAAATAAAAGAATGGATGTAGTTAAAAACATGTAGTTGAAACGAATGCATGTTGTTGAAAAAATTTATGAGTTGAAAGACAATGCATACAAAGAATCAGATTCCTTGGGGACTGAAATTTTCTGTCAATATTAATGGTCTTGGACCACACAATGCTTTTATTGAATCTCACAGAAAACGTTTACCAAGGACACGTTTTCCAACTACAAAAGCCAAACCGTGTTTTTAGTTCACGGTTTCCAGGGAATCTGTGTTTTTAGTTCATGATTTCTTTGTATAGTAGGGCATGGATCACACTTTGAAATACTATAGCCGTTGATTACATAAACGTTTTCAAGGGCTAGGATTTATAGGGCACAAATCACTCTTTAAACTCCCTTAAACCCATCCCTATAAATACTTCAATTCATTCCATTTCAAATCACACAATTCTCATTCTTATACCTTAAATCTTTCTATTGTTTTCATTACTCTCTTTTCCTGATTTTCTTATATCCTCTCAAAATGAAGCATTTTGTTTCCGGTCCCTCAAATAAATATGTATGGAATGGTGAGGAAATCACTTTCCATGCTAGATGCAATTTTTGGCAGTCATTACCTAATGAATGAGTGTTGCAATTGATTCGCAACACTACTTTTGGTCCTATGTTAGATATTGGTGTTGTCGAAATCAACAACCATCTTTTGATGTAACAATATTAAGAATTACCTTTTACGCTTGAAGTAAAATGGAATGAAGTGTTGGTATATTTGTAACGTGGTATGCTTCTGTTAGTAATATGGTATGCTTCTGTTAGTAACGTGGTATGTTTATGTTAGTGTGTGTTTGGTAGCTCTTGGTTTAGGTTTTGCGGGGTGAAAAAGTATATAAATAGGGTTCACAAAACGTGTACAATATCCTCGTTTTGCCAAAAATCCAAAAACAACAAAAAACGTTGATTTTGTCCACGTTTTGCCAATTAATTAATTAGACAAGAAAAAAAATTGGATCTGTGGATTGGATCCACGTTTAACTATAAAACAAAAAAATAAACATAAAACAAACCGTGGTTGAGAAACACGATTTATAGAAGCCGTGAATTCAATCCACGGTCCTGGCCTAAACGTGGATTTTATCAACAATTTCTAAATTTAAAATAAAATAAAAAATAAAACGTGTATTTTAAAAACGATTTACACTAAATCTATCTCATCCCGAAAATATCAAAAAAAATCCCTCATTCCCATAATAAACAAGTCAATCAACCCACCGAGCTAAATTTTCCCATGATACCTATTTGGATATTTACTCACCAAACTTTGGCACATAGGTGTGTTAAATATTCAAAAATACTCATACTCTGCCTCGTGGAACCTTCTAGAAGAATCTCTGATGTATTCTCTCTCCCGTTCAACCTCCCTCTTTTTTCATACTCCCATTCAACTTCGCCAATTCTCACCATTTCATATCCCTTCCTTTTTACATTCTCATTCCAGATCCAATGCATTTTCATCCTTCAACTCTTCTGGTTCCTCTCTTCACATCTTTCACTTCTTTGTTTTCCTTTCTTTTTCTAAATAATTTGTTAATTCACTAACTAATTGATATGAAATTGAACAAAGGTGTAAGAGCTCAGGTTTCAACGGTGGCGGAAGGTGCAACATCACCGATTCATAATGTTGAATCGCCGGTTGTTGTGGTTACCGGAGCATCAAGAGGTATTGGCAGAGCAATTGCGTTGTCTTTGGGAAAAGCTGGTTGTAAGGTTAGTCCAATATTGCTTTGATTACACTGTTTTCATGTATTAGTGATTGAGTGATTGAAATTACTATTTAGGTCATCAGTGTGCATTTTATGGTCAATCTGTGTCATACATTGACTACCGTTACGAACTGTTTCCGATGAAGAATTATACATTAGAGATATAAGGAGTAGTTTATATCATTCTGACACTGATTTGACAAACACTGTTAAGTTATTTTAGCTGAGATACCTTTTTTATATGGGGAATTGTAGCATTGCATAAACTGTTACATAGTGTTTTCATGTACACTAAAATAGGGAAGAAATGTAGATGGATAAATTAGCGCTGAACGTACATTACATTGTGCAAATTAGTCCCTGAATGTCTACAAATTAATGGCTGTCGAAAACTAAATTGAACAACAAAATGGCATTCAGGAACCGCAGGAATTATTTTCAACGGGGTTAATATGACCAAGCTACTAAGTCCTTTTAGCTGAATCGAATACCTTTTTTAATGGGGCATAGTAACATTAGTATGATTATTATATTTTTGAAAATTTTCATTTTGCAACATGTGTACAAGTTATGGTTTTTGCCTTTTTGGAGATGTATTCATCCATTGCCTCATTATAGACTTTCTGTTGGTTGTGAACTATTGGCTTGCACTTTCTTGCAGGTAAACGTTTATTTTTTGTTTGATAAACTAAAGGCATGAAAAAATGTTCTGGAGTAAATGGTGTAATGTTAAGAACTATGAAGTTGGACTGCCTGGTTATTATGTTTAAATTTTTTCCAGTTTGTGTCATGAGTAGAGGGCATCCCTGGACATAGGTCATGTTCACTCTGTATATAGTAATTAACTTTATCTTCATAGATGTAATATTGTCATGACTTTCTTTTCAATTCCATCAGCCAGTTATTTGGTGTTTCTATTACAGGTCCTTGTCAACTATGCAAGGTCTTCCAAGGAGGCTGAGGAGGTTTCCAAGGAGGTACAAAACTGCATCTAAACTCCCGTGTCAATATTTGTAATTTTGTGTTGGGATTTCGGTCCTCGTTGTGCCATGATTGTTTTATATACATTATTTTGTGCCAATCGAAACTTCCGTGTTATGTTGTACATTATTTGGTGCCAATCTCATTGAGAGCACGGGTAAAGGAACATAAGTAAAAATCCTATGCAGTGACTGAGATATCCTACCATCTCCATTTATTTGTTATGTTAGTATAAGTATAATTATTTGCATACTTCTTGTTTATTAAATGCTTGTTACAACTAGATGTGTGTCTTTCTATAACTAAAAAGTTTCTTTAAGTTTTATACTGCCAAGTATTTGAATGTACAGCTTCATCAATGAAGCGTATCTAGATTCTTTATTTTTTAGGGTTGTGGGGGGAGCGAACTTTGTAGAGTTTGAACCTGGGTGCTCACACCATGTCACACAACACTACCAATTGAGCTGACTCTTCGGGACTACCTAGATTCTTTATGTATCATTGCATGTTATTTTGATCGTTTTTGTGAATATTTTTCGGCTGAGGTGTCATGATCTCTTATTTTTGTGTTGTTCATAGTTGTTTTAGGTGTATCATGAAAGGAACACAATTCATATGTATTTCCATGTTTATATTCTCATGCTTACTGACCAAAGGTTTTGTTGGTTGATAGTTACTATAGTTATGTCATAATGACCCTTGCTTAATGAGTCAGTGTGTAGGCGAGGTTGTGCTGATCGACTGAACTGCATTAATTTATAATTCTACAGATTGAGGCATTTGGTGGACAAGCTCTTACATTTGGGGGAGATGTTTCCAACGAGGCTGATGTGGATTCTATGATTAAAACTGTGAGCAAATATTTTTGAATTATTAGATTGACTTTTACCTAGTCTGCTTCATGACTTTAACATATTTCAGGCAGTTGATACTTGGGGAACTGTTGATGTGTTGGTAAATAATGCAGGTAACTTGGGTAAAAGCTCTTCCGCTGGCATTTTTTTTAAAATTCAAATTCCACACTAAAATGAATATATTGTTTCAGGAATTACTCGGGATAGTTTGTTAATGAGAATGAAGAAATCACAATGGCAGGAGGTCATTGATCTAAATCTTACTGGTGTTTTTCTTTGCACGCAAGTAAGTCCAGAATTTGAGTTCATCTTAATTTATAGTTTTGTTTCCTCTTTAAAAGGTGGCTGAGACGGTTTATTTTTGCAGGCAGCAGCCAAGATTATGATTAAGAAGAAGAAGGTGTCATCTCACTTAAATATTTCCCCCTTCTTTTCTTTTGATTTGTTTATGGGGGAAGGGGTGTTGTTGGGTAGAACCCTTTGGGCTTTATATTGACTTCTTTCTTTGTCAGTCCATTAATTTTTGTTTCCATGCTAAAATAACCAAAATGGTCTGATTAAATTACTTGGAAGTAGACACTACTTTTTGATTATTTTTATGAGCTGCAGCCTGCAGGTTATATTTCTGAAAAGGTTTGGCATTCAGCCCATTGTAGTTTTCTTGATTTTCAAAACGACAGCTAGTGGTTGCTAATGATGGAGAATAATAACATAATAAATAATGGTTGCATTGTTCATAGAATAATCGGTGAAGATTCTTTGAATATTTCTTGGAAAATAAAGATTCAAGCTTCCAGTACTAGGGAACAGAGAAGTCATTGTTGAAAGAGGAGATGGCTTAGATTTGGGTGAAGTTAATTATTACTAGTTAGTTTAAAAGGGAAACAGGCTTATAGCAAATATATTGAAGGTGTATAAAGTTGTGCTTGTACTTCCATTTTTCTTTTCATTTCATATCCGGGGTCATCTCAGTTTGCTGGTGCTTTTGCAGGGAAGGATAGTGAATATTGCATCAGTTGTGGGTCTAGTTGGCAATGTTGGACAAGCCAATTATAGTGCTGCAAAAGCAGGAGTAATTGGTCTGACAAAAACTGTTGCGAAGGAATATGCTAGCAGAAGAATCACTGTAAATTTATAAATTCATTTCTGCCTGATATCTAAGACGCGGGTTATGTTGCCGGTATTAATTAAAACCTATTTAAGTACAGGTTAATGCCGTTGCCCCCGGGTTTATTGCATCTGATATGACTGCCAAGCTAGGACAAGACATTGAGAAAAAGATTCTGGAGACAATCCCCTTGGGTAAGATTATCAAACTCCCAAATATTTGTTTGATCTTGCTAACAACTGTCCTAAGGACATTGTTTAAGGATTTAAGAAATAGAAACTATGAATTGAAAATCACAACATTAATATTTTCAAAAGATTGAATTAAATACACCATTTTCCAATGCAAAGTTCCTGCTAGTGTAATCATTAAATAATGCTGTCAGGACACTTGTTAGCTCTCCATGTTTTTAACTCTGAAACACATTGAAGTTCTAAATACTAGTTGAAGTTGTTGGTAACTTACTCTTCCCACCTTTTAATTCAGGAAGATATGGCCAACCAGAAGAAGTTGCTGGATTGGTGGAATTCTTAGCTCTAAATCCTGCTGCTAGTTACATCACTGGGCAGGTCATTTATCAATTTCTCTATTGCTTTTCTAAATATAGAACTGCCTCACTTAAACTAGCCAACTTCTCATTGTAATTCTAAAAATTAAAGTCATACTTAAATTTCAGATGAGTGTAGTTTGAAAGCCTATCATTTCATCTTAGGGTTCTGTAACTTCTGTTGTTTACCTATATCTTTTCAGTTCATCTGTTAAGGGCTTACAATAATTGCCTTGTTACAGGTTTTCACCATTGATGGAGGTATGGTAATGTAAGTGAGCAATTTTCTTCCCTACCAACTTGTTCTTCTGTAATTCAGAGTTCATGTCACTGGCCACAGAATTTCAACATGTTTGACATCTTGTTTACATTTTGGTGACTGTACGGGTAACTATTTTTGCGGGTACTTACGGGTCGGATATTTTTGACATCCCTAATTATTCTCTGTACTCAACAAACTTACTGTATGTATTAAGAAATAAAATGTCATTCTTCTACTTGCTCTCAAAGAATGCTATTATTCTTAGCTTCTTTATTTTTGTCAAAATTAAAATTGAAATTACCTTTTAATATAATTATGAATATTTCCCTTTAATATTTAGACATTTCCTCTTTTTATTTGTTCTTT